GGGGTGTGAGTTCTGAGTGTGGCGAGATACTGGAACAAACTCTGTTACGATAATTGTGTGAGTGGTTCAGCATCAGTGACAGTTTCAATTGTGATCTTCGCAGGTTCTTTCTTGTGATTGGTTGTTGGGAGTTGTGTCCGAGAAACACTGTGTGTCTTCTCCCCTGCTGTGCATAATTGTCTTCCGCTGTTTATCTTCACCTGTGTGCAGTGTGGACTCTGTCTCCTCTCTCCCCATCGCTTGTGCATGTATGGGCATGTATGAGACTGTCTGTGTGTGAGTGGCGAGAAAATTCGTCAAACAACCAAGATCATAACACAATAATAATATTAGTAGAATGAATCTTCTGCTAAAACATCGGACCATACATCGCCATATGCTATTTCTTTTGTGCATGTGGTGAGTAGTGGAGCAGGCCCCACTGTACATATTCATAAGAAAACAAAAACAAAAAAACGAGAGAGCTACGGGCATCTTCATCCTAACCCATAACTGCCGACATGCAGACCTGAACGCCAACCTTTAGAATATATTGGTGGTCGGCCAGACATGAAAATGCAACCTGTGACTTCTGCAATATTCGTGGGCCAGGTCGTTACTAGGCGACTACACCCTTCTTGCGAACTTACCCCACCACTGCGTGGGATTTGCAGAAGGGAGGGGGAAGGCCAGTTTCCATACCCCGCCTAAGAGAAAACTTGGAATGAGCCCTATTTTATGCTTTGCCTTTTTTAAACTTCTGGGGGTAGGGCCTGCGGAAATTGAAATTCGGCAGGCCTTGCCCAAAAAGAAGTTCGGGCCGGGGGCGCGGCCGGTTTGCGAGCTCGCGCGGTGCATTTAACATTTTGGCCGAGTGGGGACCCTAAGGAATGACAAACGGTCAAACCCCCTACTTTTTTTTTTTTTTTTTTTTGACATAATTTTAACAGTGCGGTGCGCTTGGGTGCGCTGTGCGGTGCGCTGCGCGCGGTGCGCAAATCGTGCGCAAATCCACGCATCGAGGTTCGCCGCAACTATGGACAAAACATATGGCGGCGTATTGTTCCACGTTATAACAGAAGATTCATTCTAATTCTGCACAGTGGCCCTAAGGGCCTCTGCTACCCACATGCACAAAAGACAAAACATCTGGCGGCTTATTATTCCACGTTCTAGCAGAAGATTCATTCTAATTCTGCACATTTGGTGAGTACTGCAGCCAAGTCCTGAGAATCACGTGCAGAGACCAACAGGGCCTAGCGAAGTGAGCAACCCATAACTGCTGAAATGCAGACCTGAATACGAATCATGGTAACCCCGGACCCAGACACCGGACACATCCGGACTGTCTTCTGGACCGGTGTCTGGACAATCCTGGGAGTTACGTGCTTTGACAATGACCCGAATCGGCCCTCAGACCCCACAACTTTGGGTGGAGTCCTCATCCAAAAGGATGGAGAAGGGCAAGAATGGTCATTGAGATTCGAGAGTCGAACGCTAAATGCGGCAGAACGAAATTATTTCCAATTTAAGAAGAAACTCTTGCAGTACTTCATTGCTTCAAGATCTTTCGAAATTACGTGTTTGGAAGGCGATTCGTCCTGCGGGTTGATCCGACTGCTTCGGCACAGTCACTGAATAATTATTCTCCTTCAGATCCAACAATTGCTCGATGGTTGATTTATATTTGAATGTTCGATTGTGAAATCGA